TTCTCGCATTCTCGTAAATCACAGGGGTTCTCGTTTGAACCCTTCCCTATATATATATATATATATATATATATATATATATATATATATATATGGAAAGAGAGATTAATTATTATACAATCCTTTACAATTGTACAACCAATACAGCTCAATTTCAATTATTCATTTAATTTGATGAATATGTGATTTCATAAAAGTTATGATTGTTTCATAATATAAAGTATTAATCATAATTAATGAATCCTAGACATCTTCCATAAATATTCAAATCATAATAAATAAACTCTTATCATCTATATTATATTATAAAACATTTTACAAAAACTCAAGATTGCAGGTAGATTGTGCGTAAGTACAACTTATTAAAGCTCCATATCTGAATTCGTGTAACTAACTGCAGATAAACATAATCAAATATAGGATAAACATCTCATTTTAAATATAAAAAATCTAAAATATAATTAAGATAATCATTGAGTTCTAACATAATACTTAGTTATTATCTTTATAAAATGTTATATTATTGTTTTCTTAAAAACACATAAAATCGTATTATAACATCGACAAAGACAAATAATAAAATAGAACATTAAAATCGAGATGTGTCTTGCTGCATTGTGCGAGTACTCTTGTGGTTTTCATAAATATATCAATTAATTGGATTGCATTGATCGTACAAATGTGATAGTTGCATTTGAAAGATTTTGATTTGGTTAAAAATACGACTTTAGCATATGTTAGTATGTAATTGATCGTTTTTTCAAGAACAATACGGAGTTAGAGGTTACCGAATGAATTGTAAGGAAACATCCATTGAACATTTCGCCAAAGCAGTTCCTCTGTTCCTCTTTGGGGTCGATCCTGATGAGTTCATCTTCCCCAAGTCTGCAAAAACCTGCAAAAGAGAACCAAATATATGGTGGTGAGGTTTCACTGACTGCAAAAAACTCCAGTACGGCCAAGGATTGCAGATTTAAACAAAGAGTAGATGCATTCATATAATCAGTAGAGAACTCACATGTTTATCCCCAAAATATCATACAATCGCGTGGTGAAACAAGATGAACTCAAGATCCAAACAGTAATGGGCGAAAGATACGATCCATGTACTGTTGAATGGAACATATGCTCTCTATCAATCAACCAGATTCATCAAAACCATAAGCAAAATTCCTCCAAACTTTCAGTCCGGAAGGCGAAGATCTAGGTTGGTAGATTGAGATGAAATCGCCCTAAAAACACACGATCATTGATCTCTCCTGCAACTACTGTTTTCCTGATGAATCAATGAAGAAATAGAAGGCTAGGGTTACACAAAATCATTGTTTGAATCAAAAATTCCGAATCGAAGGCATTGAAAGTTCAAATCAACACAAGAAAACGCTAATCCTTAGAATGAAGATCAGAACGGAATCACAGCAACCGCTGAGCAAAATCATCCCCAATTATCCAATTGAGTTTAAATTCCACATTATATTTTCAATTTCAATACCAAATAACAAATCCGTTGTAGTCTAGTTGGTCAGGATACTCGGCTCTCACCCGAGAGACCCGGGTTCAAGTCCCGGCAACGGAAATTGTTTTTGCATTTCTTCGAATTTATTGTTTTTGACCAATTAAAATTATTATTTTTATTTGATGAAAATGTGACATTTTATGTGATATTTCTCAGACCCTAAATCCTAAACTGATCGAAGGGAGATTTCTATAGTTCCAACTGTTTTCAATGAACAAAAAAGGTTTGGGTCGGACGTTGAGGTTGAAAAAGGATCTAATCAGACTTTTTAAGGATTCTCGGACTGGGCCTAGGCTCGGTCCTGCCCCCAAAATTTCAGCCTGCTCGAGCTTTGAGGTCTGGCATGGACCAGGCTTCAGGTTCATTAGGCCTAAGCTTTTTCTGGTCTGATCGCGTCGAGCCTTGGCTTTTATGTGCATCTCTACTTGCAATATAACTTACATGGGTCTTGCGGTCTTGCCCAACATTTGTCGTTTTGACCCTCAAAAGCACACTTTTTGTGTCATTTCTCTTTTAAGATGGTGAATTCTTACACATACCAAAAAAAAATCATTTTTGTGCATGATGTTGTAACATATATCAATCCCCATATAGCATGCTAAAACAGTAAAACATAAAGCATATATATCTCCTTTTTAAAAGCATTAAAAGGTACATTGATTATTCATGATCTTCTATGGACCTCGATGTCATTTATTTGCATACCCTAAATACAAGGTTAGACAACTCGCCTAACTCCAAATTCACGTGGATTGATGTACTCAAGCTCTAGCTCCCTTACCAGGTCGTGCTCACGATATGACTTAACAGAGAGCTAACCTACCTTCAACTTTGCAGCCTTAGCCTACATTACCTCCCAGGTTGCATTATAAGTCTCATACAACCTTGTAATTCGACTTCGTGATCTATATAGATAACCAGGTTTTTTTGGCCGCATAATGACACTGAATTCACTTTTTTTTTCTTACATAACTATACATCCAATACGCTTACCTACCATAATTCTCACTTAAACAATAATTAAAATGACAAACATGCATTTAATCAGACGATTTCTCCTATATTTTTCAATAACATTACACTTGATCAGATCAAATAGCGCTTTGACCTTACTATGTTTTGTTTGCATAACATACAGATAACGGTTGATGTATTCCTTCCAAAACAAAAGAGAGTTCAGGGTGTGTCTCTCTTCGTTTAGACATACTACTCGAAAACATACTCTCAAGCCTACAACTTATGCAAATGGGCTTACAAACCCTTGGACTTCTACTTTCAGATTATGGCACCTTTAGTCCCTCGCACACTCACTTACCTTGTTACATCCATCCATACAAAAAATTAAATGATCGCTTAAAGATTATTAATGTGTCATTTGCCCATTGATCAATGAATATGTTAAAAGATAGTATAAGTTATACCGATCTATATCAGTTACACATTTTAGTTTAAACATCAGCTATAACATGTTATGTGATAGCATTTTTAAACCAATCATCAGTTGTAACCGATTAAAGAACCAGTCATCATCGTTTTCGCTCATTTCTAATGCACACAGTGATGTCAGGTTGCAACTCCTGCATCAGTTTAGGCTCATCAACTCTAATGTACATGTATATTAAGCATCCAAATGACATTTTAGATCATACATTTTATTCAAAATGCACGTAAAATGCTAGTGTGTGTTCACATACACGATACTAAGATGTCCAAATGGGTCCGACCCCACCCGGGACCGGTGGAGGACCAGGACCGAGACCGACTTGGGACTAGTCCTGCCCGATTTTTATTTTAAATTTATTTTTAAGCGTATTTTATCAAGTGTATTATGATAAAAATGTATTTTTTTTAGTGTATTTGGTTAACCCAATTAAATATTCCAAAATATATTTGATCGACCAAATTCTTTATAACAAAAATGTATTTCTTTAATGTATTTGATTGACCAAATTATAATAAAAAAGTATTTGTTAGTGTATTTGATTGACCAAATTCTTCAAAAAAAATATTTTTCATATGTTAAAAATCAATTTTAAAAAAATTAGTGGGACCAATTTGGGCCCAGCCGGGGACAGGGAACGTCCTCGTAATCAAGCCTCATACATCTTAACCGGGCCTTCCCTTCTTGACCGGGACCAGGATTGTCACTGTTTCGGCCCAGCACCAATGTAGGCCGGGGACCAGTTTTTTACCATGTCTATGCGATAGTTTACTCCCACTTTGAACACCGAAAAACGAGTGAAAAGGGCCGTAAACAATCATACAAGCCCAGCAGACCCGAAAAAACAAACTCAAATGAAGTGGTGTGCAATATGCATGTCCTACAAGGTTAACACTGATATAAGTCGAAGCAACTTTGTTTTCGTTAACATCTATCATCAAGTACAACAAAGCTGGTGTATGAAACACCCTATACAATCATCACTTCTTCCCATTTCTTTTTCGGAGGGACGGAAATTGCCATAAAACAAATACTGTACAAGTTTCAACGCATGATGCTCGTTTTTTGTTGGTATTTGCTGTTGCTGCCTACGACTGTACATCCATCGCATTCTGTAACATAACCGTTCCATAAAACAATCAAGAACTACAATTGGAAGTAGCACCGAAGAGTTGTTGGCTCAGATAGATCTTCAACCTCTACAAAGGTCTAAGGTTCAAGCATCACCAAAACACCAAATGTGAGGAGTGTGTGAGTTTTTGCCTTGTAGAAATATTATACACCGCAAAATTTGAGGTGTGAATTTTTTCCAATTATTTTTTTAGCATGTCCTTTTACGTCATTTTACTTTGTCATCAATTTTTCGGCTAGTTTTATCAAACATAACTTGTTTATTGGCTTACAGCTAATTTATTAACCAACAACTATTTTTTAGCTAACAGCTAGCTTCTCAGCTATTTTGCCAAACATAGCTTTAAAGAATACCTTCGTTCTTAAAAAAGGATGTACGGAAGTCACATACCATAAGTCCGTATGGAACTTAGTATGATTGGAAAAGAGTCACGGTAGCAATATAGCCATTCTTCATGACCTGCTCATACAGAACCGTCGTAAGCAATTATATTCAGTGCAATAGTTGGATAATATGTGATAAGAACATGGAACGATTACAGAAAGAAAGAATATAACAAGAGGCAAGCCAAAGAAAAAAAGACTTGAAAAAGCCAAACGGACCGAAAAGTTTTTGCAAGTAAAGATGAGTTGAGAAATTAAGAAATTACCTCAAAAGCAACATTCTGGTACCCATAGACAAAAGTGGAGCCAAATGGATTGCTTGTAGAGCCTTGTGTTTGAATAGCAGCTCGGCCACAATCTCCGAGGATCTCCTATCAAGAAAATACCATAACTGAACTATTAACTTTTATGCAATCAATGATAACAGCAGATTCAGATTTAGTAGAATTTCCTGATAAGAGATTTGTGCTTTAGTTTCAAAATAACTACTAAAATTATTTATAACCAGAAGTGGCAGAGTTTGTGGTTGCTCCAACAACCAAACCCAATATATCCTGCTCGAAAGGAGGGTCTGGGAGGGGTGGGATGTACAAAGTCCTGACATCTACCCCCAAAGGGTAGGGCAGTTGACTCGCTGTACCACTATCCATGCATAAAAACTGAAATTATTGAATAAAAGCACAAATCATCAAGACTTGAACGTTGAACCCATGAAAATGACTTCAGTTTCAAAAACATCGATGTAACAACATAAACAAGATCGATGATATGATATACATATATATAGGGTTGGGTTTAGGGGAAACCACAAAAAAATAGAAAACTGAGAAACACCCTAATAACCATTCATTGGTCCAGTATGCACATGTGCATAAAAGTAATTTGTCCGATATGCACATGTTCACAAAATGCACATGTGCATAGAAACCAGGAAACATGTTCAATTGTTTTTATACACGTGCACACCGGACAAATGAATCGTTATTAGGTGTTCCTTAGTTTTCCATTTTTTTGGTTTACCCCTGAAGCGGAGTCTATATATATTTATGAATTTTCTAAAACAAGATTAACCCAAATTCATGGCTACAATGTCCAAAGTTCATTTTGTACTACATGCCACATTTTTGTAAGCTTCGAGCAAAGGTAAATCAGATCAAACCTTCACTTGGTCCCACTTTGACCCGGGCGTAATCCTACTTTTTGAGGAATTCATATCTTGATGAAATGCACCATCAACTACATGTAAGAAGAGACCAGCAAAAACATCAGTGAACAAAATCATTAGACTACCAAAGGCCTTCCATGATGACATTACTTACATTCTGTAGCATGGATAATGAAATTGCACTTCATGTATGAATTGAAGTCGGCATGCCCCGGATAATTTGTATGTAGAACAAACTTTTTGATCTTGTGGGTCTGAAAATTCAATTAAATATATTCATATAAGAAAACTTTCAACCCAAGAAAATCATATTGACAACTAGTATCCTCGGAAATTCAAACAAGAATATTAACAGAATACCTGGCCGTCAAACAATATGTCAAATCCTCGACCAAAATAGTTGTAGAAGTAATCACCACATAGGGTTGTTTTTGGTCGTGGGTCTGAAGCAGAGTGAATTACCATTTGGTCGACCTGCAGTACCATGTTAAGTCACTAGTAACCTAGGTTGCTAAGATACATGCTCAAGAAAGACCAAAAAACACACAATACGCAATATGTTCCGTAATAGATGCTTAAAGTTGCAAGATGTGCTCAAACGCATTAGCCATGCCTAATATGCCCAATTTCAGGAGGGTTAGTAATATGGATAGTTAAAATGGTAGCATTAGTATGTGTTACATATCTTATAATAGTGTTTATTTACTTCGCATTATGTTTCTCAGCCAACAAGACCATAAGAACATTTATAAGTTCAAGCCTAAATCCCTGCATAATGTATTCATGTCATTCCATGCCCAGTATATAGAAACTCAAGAGAACCTGTTTTTGATGAATTCCATCTGGTCGGCCTAATTCTGTCCACACATCCTGCATACGAGATAGTTAATATTAAAAAAGCAGAAGCGGCCAGCATGAAATCAATTGCGCAAAATTTGAACCTTGTAATGGCATCATATAATTGGAAATAAGTTGGGGTATGTTGATATTCTTATCTTACCGATGGAAACCTTATAATCAGCTAAAGTATCAAGAATTCAAGAGGAAAAAAATACAACTTTGTGTTTAAATAACTTTTTAGCATTGTTTACTCGGTCAAAAAGATGATATGGCTGTCTAATGAGATGACAAAGTATCAATGACTCAAATGGTCAAAATAATGGCTGAAGGTGTGTTTGGTATGTGGGATGGGGTACAAAAACTTCTGGTCCCACGTTTGGCGTGACATTAAACTTCTGGACCGGAGTGTGAGAAATATGCATTTAATCTGTCCCATCAGCATAAGTGGAACAAAAATCAGGGAGATGGGATAAAATTGGTAAATTACTAAAATACCCATGTCAAATTAAAACCCTAAAACCTTCCCGAATTTTTTACCTCACTCTCGCTCGTCTAGTTATGCCCAGTCCAGTCTCGTCCGGTCCATCAACGTACCAAACACACCCTAAAGAACTCTGGCCATAACCTAATTAGGAATCCAAATTGAAGAAAATAAGTGTTTCAATTACAACCAACTCAAAGTGTCGGTCACTAGAATGGTTCTAATCCCGGCAATCTCTAGCAGTCCAGACACCTTCCGCTTAACAAGCTTCCATTTTTATTACATAGTTTGGATCAAGTAACAATAGTCAATAGGTTGAAGATAAATTTGGGGAAATCAATACTTTGCAAGTGATTGATTTGTGCTGGCTTGTCAACCATGTTTGGGAGCAGTTATCCATATCAAAAGATGTCAAAGAGTAGGAAGCAGCAACAAGTGTTTCTAGCATTCGTAACTACCACCATGACATAATGGTCACATTGATCACTTTCTAAAAAACATAAAGTGCGTAAGTGAAGAAAGAAGAAACAGAAGATTGACATACTGATAGCAAACACATTCAAGATAAACAAATCCAGAAAGTACTAAAGCAGCATAAATTTAACTAGGTAAATATATCCAGACTCAAAATCACAGACAGCCAGCCATTTATTTAAAAACTTCAATAGGCACTACCTGTGGCGAAGCACCAAAAGGGATATGCTGGCCACCTACAGTAAACCATAATTCCTCCCCTAGCTGAAAAAAACAAAGTCGAGCAAAATCAGGTACAAGTATATTAAAATGGACGCCTAGAGACCTCACTCCAGTAACCATACTAAAATAGACGAAATCAAACCAAATGAGCCCAATATATCCCACCCAAAGGGGGTGGGATGGAGGTAAGATGTACACAGACCTGACCGCAACCCTAAAGAGTAGAGTAATTGGTTCCATGACTACCCCTGACTAAAATGTCCAGCCTTATCAACATAGGGGGATTTCAACCATAAGTAACAAGTGTATAAGATGAGATGTCAAATTTCATGATTCTAATCAAGGTTAGTATAAAGTGCAAAAGGTTTGGTTATTTTTTAACAGGTAACCGAACCTTAACATGGACTTCTTCCATGTAGAGGCTACCAGCAGGAAGCGGAGGAGCAGAAGCCTTGTTCATCAATGATCCTACACCAACTTTACTATCTGTCGAACTGTCGTATATGCATACACGACATGTTACAGGAGTAGTGCCATCCGGAAACTCCAAGGGCAATTCCGCTTTCATATTCAAAAGACGAAAAATTAGGATAGATTATTGGGAAATAAATCATAACTATGCATAAAGAAATATGGTATACCTTCCCCATTATGGCAGCAGTCGGTATACTGAGAGGGAATGGGAAAAGCAAATGATAGCCCCTGAAAAGTACAGCCGGCCTCAGTTTTTCAGAAAGGCAACGGTGAAAACAGAAATAATGTTTCGGAAAGTAGAAGAAATGTATGATTGTCAACAAAAGCATACCGGATAGAAGAGAGTATAAACACCTCTATCTTTGTCATAAATTCCAGGAAATGTTGGCCCAAAAACGGCATATACAGCTACGAAAGTAGCTGGAGTTGACGGACCTCTGAAAATAATAAAGAAGTCAATTACTATTCACAAACAGATAAGATCAGAACATTAGAAAGCGATTCAGTATATCACCCCCACCCTATCAGTGATGTTGCATAGCGCATTTGAAGCCGTTTGACATCAAAAATTTCAATAAGTCGAAGCCTCTGAAAAAAGAAGCAATATTACATATTTGTAAGGAGTTTAACAGTGACATATAGTGGACGTACGTAAAAAGTTTCAGATATAAGAATATAGACAAAGTACAAAAACAGAAAATACATAGATATAGAAATGTTGTGAAACACAGAACCCAACAAATAAGTATTACGAAACAACAAATTGATCGTCCCTTTTAACACATACGATTAAAGAATTTATCCGAATCACAAGCCAGCTACCCAAATCTACAATCTAATCTTAGTAAAATCGAACCTACCCATTTTCAACTGTTACTACCTAAAAATGAGTATCTTTAAGTCTTAACTGAGCAACATAAAGATAGTCGACGAATAGGTTCGAGTTTATCGTCTAAAATGTACTTCTATATCACAGAGACTCTATTTGAAAACAATTTAAATGACTTGCACCTGCGTGGCTGTGTCAAATTAATTCCAATATTCGCGTGGATATTTAATCAAAACATAGATTGGTGCATAACTAAATAATATGAATATTAAACTTGAAGCTAGACATTTTTCCATATTCCATCTACTGTGCATACATGAAGAGAAGTGGTCATAATAGGCCAGCCCAAACAATTTGCAGCAGTAAAGTGAATCATACAAATGAAATTTAGAATTAAGCTATTTACAGAAGTTACATGCTTTAAGATTAGGGACAACAGGAGTACCTGAGACCATGGATCAAAACGAAGATGAAAGCCATGGTCTGGAAAGCTTATAACAATATCCAACTTTAGTGGATCCTGTATAGAAACAAACATTGAACATTTATGTTGATATAAATAGTGGATGGTGAAGAAAAATATAAAAACAAGCTTGCAGTACATAACAAGTAGGCATTAAGAGGGGTAGAGAAAAGGCAAGAGTAATATGAGGTGATCAAGAAATACCTTAAGGTTTGAAGTACATTTAAAGAATCAACTTATATAAAAGAACATCAAGAAATTCAGATTCCCAGGCCTCAAGTATTTCATCTCTTTATAGTGTCCAATAAGTTATTGAATGTCTGATCTTAGGACCTTACTCTCAGTGTCAATCCCGGCTGACTATAATAAACCACTACATTTGTCCCCAAAAAAGAGTAACATCTCCCATTTGGGTTGTTCCAGAAAAAGCTATAGTTCCCTGTTTAGCAAGATTCCAAAGTTTACCTTTGCCCACTAACAGCCGTTAGAAGATATTTGTGACAAGGACTTTGGTTTCTCGATTTTCTCTTATTGAAGGGCATTTTAGTATTTTATTATTGGTCAAGACTCTGCAAAATCAAACATTGCATTTTTGTGTGGAAGGAAGAGAGCACTACTTAGCATGAACATAAAGGCAGTATGAACTAAGGGTGTGTTTGGTACCCAAGACATTACAGAACAGAACGAACAAAAAGTTTTGTCCTGCCTTTGGCAAGCTATCACTTTGGACAGGATGAGACCACGTGGAACAATTTTGTTATTTTTATGTTTTCCCACCAAATACACCGGAACAAGGTAGGACAAAGACCAAAACACAATTCTAGCCGAAGATAAACTCTTCTTTCTTCAAAGGGTAATATATATACATATATAATATTACATGTATCGTAATTTCTTTTCAATATATGATATATATTATATATATTAAAAAGAAGTTATGTATAAATCTTTTTTTTGTAAAATTACTTGATATCTACTTGACATATCTCATTTATAATGTTATACAGTTAAAAGAATTAAACACTCTAGAGACAATCTGGTTATTTTAATATTTTGTCCCCTCATGTACTAGTCTCACCTTACCGACAACTAGTTTTGTTTTGTCCAATTCCATCATATCCGGTCCACATACCAAACGCAGCACAACAAAATCCTATTTATTTACTTTTATATTCAACAAGAGCAAAGTAATTATGTGTGCCCTGTGCCGGTGCTTATGCAATGATACCAATATCTTGAGCATACAACAAACCCTCTAAAGTATCATGAGTTAAGTTAACAAAACACCATTGCAAGAAAAAATCCCAAATTACTTTTGTCATTACAAACCTCATCAAAGTACTTCACATGAACAACATCGTAGATGTTAGGTTGGTGCTCTATCTGTGCAAACGCTTCACATATAGGCATTCCTGAAACAGAAAGATCATTCATCACCGTATAACCAAAACATCATCTGCAATCCCATTTTTCATCTACCTTTAGACGATTATCAACATCAAACTAACAAAATCATCCTTTCAAACCAATTTAGTAAAAAGATCTTCAAAATCCCACCTCAATTACTTCATATCTGCAACTGAATCTACTCCAATTTAAGTGCGGCATAAAATTATAGCATTTAATACAAACTGAATTAGAAATTAGAAAGACTATCCACATATGCACAACACCATCTAACAAAAACTACCATTGCAATCCCTTTCTTTTCAGCTTCATCATCAACTTGAAACTAGCATAATCATCCTATCAAATCAATTCTTTACAAAATCTTGGAAACCCAAGCTCAATTAGTTCATAACTTATACTAATGGTACTCCAATTTCAGCAACCCAGAAAATATAGCATTTAATACAAACTGAATTAGTAAATATCCCCCGATAAATTAATTGAACAATAGTTTCATAATTCAATCACAAGACACTAGACCAGTCATTCCAATAATAGCAAACTTTCCATGGAAAATCAACGATAATTTTGAATCAGGATTAAGATCAAGAAAAAAATACCTAGAGAAAAGGGACCAATTCCAAGGCCGGGACGAAGATCAAGAACGATGACACCCATGGCGGTGCCCTCACACCTTCTACGGGGTCTCTGCAACATAATAACTGGATAATAATAACAACAACAAACTGATTTCACTTGCGATTATCCTTTCGCGAATTTCGAAACCAGAAAATCTTGTTCGCGATAACTTGCAGTCTTCGAAGCCCGATTCTTTCGCGATTAGTTCTCCGGGGGATGCTTAATCGATTCAGTTGCCATCCACTACACGGCATGAATGGATCGTGTTCGTGACGTATGGATGCTTTACAATTTGTACATTATGCAGCTAAAACTGTCCCTGACCCAATTGAAAGAAAAATGTTTGTATAGCAAAAGTTACATTTTAACCCTTGACCTTTGTTGGTTTTGACATTTGAAGGTAACTATTGCTCCCGAGCATATCCCTTAGGGCATGTTTGGTTTGCAGGAATTAAAGGGATTTGAAAGGATTTGGATTTAAAATCCAATCCAACCCTGCGTTTGGTTTGTAGAAATGATAGGATTTGAAAACCTGGGATTCATTTAAAATCCCACCAACACTGGATTTGAGAATCCTTTCAAAATAGACGGGATTTGAAATCCATTCCGTGGGATTTCTTTTTTCCCCTATTACCGTCTCCATCTTCTCATGGCCTCCTCCAATGCTCACCGTCTCCATCTTCTCCCAGCTTACCGTCGACTCCTCCAAACCGTCGTCGCTCACCGTCTCCGTCGCCGTCTCCCACCGTGGTCGTCGCTCACCGTCTCTGTCTCCCATGGTGGTCGTCGCCTCCCATCCCCTTGCGAAGCTGCCGCCGATAAACACTTTCTCTTCGCCGCCTTCTCCCATCACGCAGCAGGTAAATCCCTTTTAAACCCTAATCATGTCCCCTTTTCTTGATTTAGTTCTTCGCGAAGCTGCCGACCTAACCAGCTTCATTATGTGTGGGTGTGTATATATATATTGTATATATGTTTGAATACCCTGTTCTAACAACAACTATTTTGACATATTAGGTTAAATTTTTCAATGATATATATATTGCATTTTGGTTGATCTTGAGCTCAAAATACTTTGTGGGTTTCTGTCTCCATGAATAATAGTTGTCCATGATCTTGCTGGCATTGCTTACCTAGAATTTATGTTCTAGGTAAGCAGGGAGTTGATTCAGTTGAAGCGTGAGGCAAGGTTGAGAGGGGGATTTTATGTGAACCCTGAAGCCAAGATGTTGTTCATTATTCGTATTCGTGGGTATGATTTGTGTCATTCTTTATATGTGATCGCGAATTATAGCTGGAGAATAATCGTTCTTCGATTTTGAAATGTCTAGTATCAATGCCATGGACTGTCTATTATGTATGATCTCCATGTACTGTCTTTGGGTCTTATTAGCCCATATGATTTTAGGAACTTGAACATTGAGAATGGCCAAATTACTTTGACAGTACACTAGAATCACATGTAAAAAAGCACACATAATTCATGCGATTTTGGCCTTGACCTGAGGTCGCGGGCCAAGTCGACCGCTCACCGCTTCTGTTGATCCAATGTGATTTCAGTGCAAAGTCACAATGTGATTTGGACGTTTTCGTGTTTTCATTTTCCGACTCTGTTCTCGTTTGATCTTCCCCCGAGACAATCATTTACCAACCCAATAAACTATACGAACTTACAATAACATGTGTGAAAATGGAGTGTTTATAGAGTGCTGTGTCATATGTGAAACGTTAAAAATTGTTACATGTGGATAAAAAGACGGTCTTGAATGTTTCACATATGAAGCAACACTTCATTTTATGAAACAACATAGGGAAGTTGGCTTGTAAGTTCGTACGAATTATTAGGTTTGTAAAAGAAGGGGATTCTTTGTATCTCTTTCTCTCTATATATGTGTGTGTGTGTGTATGAAATCCTGGAAATATATAGTCATAATGGAATATGGGCTTTTGGGACAACAGGGGCTCGGAAAATTCGGCATAATCTGCGTTGAAGATCTTATTCATGAGATATTGACTGTCGGTCCTCATTTTAATGAAGCAAACAACTTCCTGTGGCCATTCAAGCTGAAGGCACCTTTGGGTGGTCTAAAGAAGAAACGAAACCATTACGTTGAAGGCGGAGATGCCGGCAACCGTGAAGATTTCATCAACGAGTTAATCAGGAGGATGAATTAATTAGCTCGCGGTTTTGAAACTCAGGATTAATAGATTTGTTTGCTTTTGTTTTTATGATCTTTGAGAGCTGAGCACTTCCATCTTTTAAGCCATGAAAGAATGTATCATCATTTAGAATGGTCTTTTTTGTAATCTACTACTGTAGTTTTTTGACTTGCAAATGCTGTTTTGTGGTGTTGCTTGTTTTAGTTTATTTGGTTGGCTTGAACACCACTTGTATGTCAGATTGACAATGGTTATTTTGCAGGCATAGCGAGATCGAGAATCTTTCTCGGGATAGAAGATTCTTGTTGGGTGAAAACTCGTTCTGATGGCTAAGATATTGTCCATGATCTTGCTGGCATTGCTTACCTAGAATTTATGTTCTCAATCCAAATCCAAATCCTACAAACCAAACGTATGAATGGATTTCAAATCCAATCCAAATCCTGCAAACCAAACACAGGAATGGATTTTAAATCCAATCCAATCCAAATCCCATGGAATCCAAATCCCTCATGGGAATCCAAATCCCTCATAAACAATCCTGCAAACCAAACGCACCATAGATTATTCAAAATTTATAAGTAAAACATATTATCTTTATCTCTAACAGATTATGTATTTAGAAGATACTATAATTAATTATATTAACATTTAAATACAATTTATTAAATATTATTTTTATTTTTTAAACATTAATTGTTTCTCTTTAATTATTTTTGAAAAAATGTCCAAATTTGGATAATACATTCATTTTCTCTCATACTTTCTCCATTTTGAAAAAGGTTTTGAGGAATCTATTTAAGCAAAGATCCCCGAAATAAAAAAATAAAAAGCTAAAATCTCTATAAAAAATATTAGTTTCATCCCCAACAGATTATATATTTGAGAGACTACACGATTATTTATACTATATTAGAAGCGTATTCGCGCAATGCAGCAAGATAAATCGTAATTTTAATATTTTATTTTATTTTTTATCTCAGTCGATGTTATAATATG